CTCCTACTGCCTTTAGCCCACAGTTTAGGGGTCGCAGTAGCTGTGGATCGACCCCGCTCGACGAAGAAGATGCGAATGTGCCTCATCCGGTGGACGGCATCACTGAACCCGTCAATGTCAAGTTGTACATCCATTAGGAATGGACAAAGGACAAGGTGGCGCTCGGCCAGGCCTGGCCTACGGGAGATGGGACCATTAATGGCCGCCCAATTCCACAGGGGTACGCTCGCATCACCATTGACAGAATACTTGATAAGAAGTATAACAAGATACATATTGAGTACCCCGTAGCGGAAGACAGGTCGAAACTTGGTCATAACAAGGGCTCTCAAGTGGCCTGGCACAAGCGCTTCATTAAGCTTGACCACCAATTGTCCTCTTATGACGAGGACGACTACGAGTCTTCGCCCACCCACAATGATCACTCACCATCTCCCAACAGAGATCACTCCCCTCCTCATCCCTTGCCATCGCCCCTGAGAAAACAGAGGTCTCCTTCTATTCCTCCTCGTCCGACTCCATCTTCATCAGCCCCGAGAAAAGAGAAGACTCCTCCTCCTCCTCCTCCTCCATCTTCATCAGCCCCAGGAAAACAGAATTCTCATCATCATCCTCCTCCTCCTCCACCTCATCCCAAAACAAGATCAAAGGCATCATCGCAGTCGTAGAAAAGGTCCTTGGATTCGGTCGCTAATGCTCCCAAAGTGGACCAACAAAAAAGAAAAAGGCCGTTCAGTGGCAGCGTTACAAACTTGATGAAAGAAAAATTTACAGCACACATCTCGAAGGAAAATTGTGTTAGTTTCTTCAATCTCTGTGCCTCACTGCCTCCATTTTTGTTGAAGTCCGAATTCGAAAGGCAAACATAGAATCAGTACGCTACAACAAGAGCCGAAGAAGTACACAATGAAGATTTAAGGAAGATACAGAAGTACATCGAAGACAACTCCGAATTAACCATGGAAGAGGCCACGAACATCTATTATAATGTACAAGGGACGGGAACACCGGCAATGAAATATGAAAGGGGCAATCTTTTGGTTTCCGATCACGAGTATAAAAATTTGACAACATATATGCGCCAGTTGCATGAATATTACGTGGCTCAAGCAATAGAGACGGAGGACTTTGGTTTTGAGGTTATTATCCGTTTGCCACATGTTTTTCATTATCCTAAAGAAGAGAAGTTCGATGTCGAGTGGGAGTGCTTGTTTCAGCTATACCAAAAATGCTCTCTCGATACACAAATGTTGACGATGTGGACTATGTAAGTACCTTACACGCACGATATTACAATTAACTACTCTCTTGGGACATAAATTGTTAACTTTTGAGGACTTTCCATGATTTTATGTAGGTGTATAGAAAAATTTTGCATACTAAAAAACAAATGGGATAACATAGGCTTCTTAGACTCCTTATAAGTCAATGAGAAGACATGTTTAGGCCTCCATGGATGTGACGTAGAAGACCTAAACGTGAGATTGATTGTTGTTTTTGATGAATTCAAGATGAAGAACAAAACCCACATACTTCTAGCGTACAACTGCGAGTATGTGTTCTCGACTTTTAATTTTATGCTTCTTTTTTTTTGTTAAGATTATTCAATAATTAGGATTCTGTGATTGCAGCAGCCATTTCATCTTCATTTGTGTCAATCTTGTTAAAAATCTGATCGAAGTGTGGGACTCGAAGAAAAAACCATTTCATCATCTGGATGCACTGGTGGCAGTGCTGAATTAGTAAGCGATCCTAATAACATATTATTTTGTAATCACACATACCGCTTTCTAATGTTTCTCCTTTTAATGTTGCACAGTGTCCGAAGAAGACATATCGGTGGGACGCAGGTCACATTCATGGTTGTCGAAATGGAGGGGAAGTACCTAAAACAGCCGGCAGGAAATAATGAATACGGGTTTTATGTAATGTGGGCAATGCTTCACTACATCGGCGGGAAATCGGAAGAAGCAAATAAGTTGGTGTGTATAATCCCTATTTCATTTATGTCTGTTAATAATTCAACAAAATGATTTAATGATTCCTCTTTGGATATCATCTTTTTTTAACGATAGCGCAAGAAATATAACAACAAAAGGCTGTTAGACATGGAGATCGTCGCACTGCAATCGGAGTTGGCAAAATTCATCTTAACCGAGGTATTGAAAAAAGATGGAGTATTTTCCATCGCACAATCCGTAAAGTTTAAGGACCAGTATGGCCCAGAGCGGCTCGCTAAATTATTGTAAGAAGTTCAAGAAGCATTGCACAATCCGTGTAGTCGGGGAACATTTTTTTTGAGGGATCGAGATCTTGATAAGAACATATAACCGTAACATTTGTAATGTTTAATATTGATAGACCTATCGTCTATGTAGCGTATATAAAGCGAAACCCGAGTCCACAAATAAATATAAATTAAAATAAATTATAAAACAATAAAATGCGAACAGGACATCACTGTCGGTTAGCAGCAAACCGACAGTGTTGTCGTAACCATCACTGCTGGTTAGCAACAAACCGGCAGTGTTGTTATAACTATCACTGCCGGTTAGCAACAAACCACCAGTGATGGTCATGATGGCACTGCCGGCTTGAGCACCAAACCGGTAGCGTTATATTAGCTAGCACTGCCAGTTCTATCACAACCGGTAGTGATTCTTAAGATAACATTGCCGGTTGAATCATAAATCGACAGTGATGTTCGTGGTTACACTGCCGGGTGGTCTTATGAACTGGCAGTGTTGGTAGACCTGAATTCTGTCGGTTTTAGTAAAGAACCGGCAGTAAAGTTAAAGAACACCGCCGGTTTGTAGGAACCGACAGTGATAGCTAACCCTCATCACTGCCGATATGGTTGTGCTGGTTCAAAATCCGGCAGTGATAGGGTGTTTTGAACCGACAGTATTGTCGTGATCTGGGGTAGTGGTACCACCAGCCATCTGCCTGCGTGCCGCACATGGCCGCCCCGGAGGAAAAGGAGCCCGACCGCCATGGAGAGAGCAAGCAATGTCACCCCTGGTTGTAGTAGTTCATTTTGGCGCTGCCGTGGGCAATTGGGGGGCCACCGTCACATCCAGCGACCAGCGCCAACATGGGAGGTGGCAGCCACGTCTCGCCGTCGTCGGCACCGGTGGCGGGGCAACCATGAGTGCTACTGACATGCCGCCCACATTCTACAATAGCGGGGCCTTGTCGGCGTCTCCAATGACCTCGCCGGGGCAACCATGAGTGCTACTAACATGCTCCAGGCTCCATCTGCTACTTCCTACGCTGCCAAAACAAGACGGTTACTTCCGGACATAGGTCTACCACTAGGACGTTCTCTACATTCAGGCCACCGTCGACATGGCACGACGCTGTACCATCTGACATATGTGGCGACAACTCCAACTACTTGGACTTCATGAGGTCTTGGGCTGCTATCTACTGCCTCGGAACCGAGTCCAGCAAGAAGGAGAACTTGTCAGGACCCAACGGTCGTTCAAATAAAACTTTTTCAAAACCTTCCTTGATGACCTTGCACTGGCCCTATTAACCAAGGAAGTGTCTCATAATCATCCCAAGGGACTCCTATCATTCTCTACTGGGACAAAGATTCCAAATTTGATTCCAAATCCTTCCTCCAACCTCATCGGTTCTCCCTAATCAACCTAAGTCAAGTAGGGTCAACCCAGCCTAGTCAACACTTAGTTAACTTCGAGAAGACTCTCCAATATTGTTGCCAAAAGGAACCATGCTCAACTCTCCAAGGGTGCATATCAACCCCATGGTCAAGGTCAAGAACCCCCAACATCAAACCCCTCTCCCTAAATCAAATCCTCCAATTTCAATGACCTCTCGGACCGTCTGCCAGATCACTTAAGCAGCAGATTCAGTTTAGCTGAGATGTCTTCCTCTCCTCCCTCTTGGCCCCACATGTCTGCACGAATTGGCCCCCCTCAGCTAAACCAGCACCCCTCCCACTCCACACACTCACTCATTTCCACTCTCCCTCTCTCTCTTCAAGGAGGAACAAGGGTGAACTAGGGAGAGAAAGGAAAGGAAAGGAGAAGAAGAGAAGGAAGAGAAAGAAAAGGAAGGGAAGATCAGCACCTCTCTCAAGCACCAAGTGTAGATCAAGGCCCCATCTCCATTATCCATCCTTGGGTGAGCTCAAGAAACTCTCTTCTCATTTTTTTGAAATCATCTCCCAACCCTAACTCTTGATTTCATCCATTCATGTTGTGTGCAAGATGAAGATTGCTAGATCCTCCATCATCTCAAGCGTAAGCTCCATGCTCTGTCTTGTTCAATCATCTCATGAATCTCTATAATTCCTCTCTAATAGGAGCTAAGGACTGAAGTTGTGGGCCCATATTGTCAGTTGATCAAAAGGGCTATATTGCCCAATGCAATTAGACAGAAATGCCTCCAGATATGGTGGTACCATCTAGTCAGTGCGGCATGATTTAACACTGCATGACAACAGCGCGTGGTAGATATAGGAAAACACAAACTTCAAATATTTTCTAGTGGCACACATGCGGAACGGACAATTTTGATGGCACTCAAGAAAGTCATATAGTTTCTAGTGGCATTGAGTTTTTTTTTCTCTTGAAACAATTAGACACCAAGCATTTGGAAATTCCTACCAAATGCGGTTATCCAAAACTCTATATAGTTTGTAATAAAACAAGTATATATGTACATGGATAGGGAGCAGTAGACGAAGTTGCTAAATTTATAAGAAATTCGGTATAATTTCGCAGCAAAATACAAATACATCTCGTGGGGAGATTCATATACTAAGAATAATGCATGACAATGCACTCGGTAAATCAACGCCACAAAAAGCAAGACCAGCAATCACGACACTGTGAATGACTCAACCATACTACTAGTACACAAGCTATATATAGCCTGCCGATAGACGATAATAACAGGGCTGTCTATCTAGCTACTAGCTAGAAACTCGGCATGAACGACGACGCGGATAGACACGCGCGCATCGATCGATCTCACATGGTGCCGTTGAAGGTGAGGAGCTTCCACGTCTTGGACTCGGAGCCCGGGATGCCCCACACGGTGGAGACGTAGCTGCCGGCCATGCCGGTCCAGTTGGTCGCCCTGAGCACCATCCAGTAGTTGTTGGCGCCGCCCCCCGCCGGCGAGGACCAGCACTGCGACGTGCTCAGGTAGCTCATGGGTATCATGTGAGCGATCTTGTACACGTTGACCGCGAACTTGCCCACCTGCTTGATGAAGTCGCTGCCTACGTCCTCCTGCTTCGTGTACCCGGACGGCGGCGCCGGGCCAGCCACCACCACGGTCAGTGCGGTCGCCAAGCCAAGGAGTGCTAGCACAGCAACAACCGATGCCGACCGCTTCTTCATGACTGATTGGCGGCGAGCTAGCAGCTGTGGGTACATGTACTAGCTGAGCGGCTAGGGCTCGTACCTGTACGTACAGCGCGCTGTGCTAGCTAGGAGCTCTGTGATGAGCTAGCTGTTGTATGTGTTACTATAGCAGGGAACTCGATGTGTGGTGACCTGGGAATGGCACACGGCACGCCCTCTATATATAGCCGTGTGCAGGTAGCCCGGCTGCCGGGTGGGTTATTAGCTAGCTTAGCTACATCTAGGGTAGGTTGCGAAAACCAGGAAGCTAGCTAGCTACTTCCAAGCAATGCATTCGTCACAGCAGGACTGCAGATCGACGATATACCACTCCGGCCGGCATCAAGTGTGTACGTACGTACTTCCATTCGTTCTTTAATTTCGAGAGAGCTAGGCCAGCTAGCTGGTGGACAGGGGTACACGTGTTGTGTCTGAACGAACGCGCGTGAATGTCGGTGGACGTACGTACGCGGGCGCGGTAGCTCGTGCATGGCATGCGTTTGTGCATGGGTGCTTGTGATCGAGGACGTGGAGATTGGCGAGGCGAGCTAGTTTAGTCTTGTGATTTGCAGGTTTTGCTTCGATCGGGGCCAGGCGTCGCGCAGAATAACCAAGCCTCGCTCCGGCCAGGCACGATGCCAGTCGAGCATTCCAGCCACGGCGGTCAACAGGTAACTATAGCGCTCCAACTGGACGGCGCATCGATCGGCCACGACGCCCGTGCCCGGCCGGTGGATCGGAGGAGCGGCGATCGATGCTGCGCGCGGTGGAGGCTGGAGGGGAGCTAGCTGGCCATTGTCGGCGACACCGATCATCGACTGCTTCAGGTGTGGGAACGCACACGAATTCCCTCATGGCCCACACCGATCATCGACTGCATCCAATTAATTAGCAAATTAAACTAGGCTTGCGCGCGCTTCAGATCACATGCATACGAGGAGTCGTCGAGAGTGTATGACCTACTAGTATTATTTCTTTAGCTTAATCGAAAGTCAAACTCGCACGTACCACTTGCCCTAGGACCATGTGTAAGAGTGACAGTGGTTTAAACTACCAAGTGTTTGCATTTGCCAGTGGAAATATGGTGAATTTTCATAGGCGTCACTTTGGGAACCGCCGGTACAAAAACAGATACTACTAGTAGTTGAGTTACATCATACGTCATAGCTGGCATGTTCTGGAGCTAAGTTAACACTCCCATGCATGTTTTTCCAGAGGTGGCTACATAACATTACCAGCGAAAGATTTTAAAATACAGATTTAATCGTTAACAATCGCCTGATATCTTGTTTTATTGTCATTCAACTATCTGGTGCGGCGGATGCGAGATGAGTGGTGCGGGGAGGTCGCGGGGTCGTGGGGCCGCTGCTGGTTGCCGAGTCCCGGGCTGCCGTCGGTCGCGACGCGGACAGGGGCATCACAGGTGGAACACAGGGAGGAGTGCCGGATGCGAGGAGAAAGAAGCGACCCGCGGCCGTGCGGCTCCAGAGCAAGAGGTTCAAGATGACTGATGCATATGCAAAATATCAGGCAACTACCGTGGAGACACATCTTTAAAATATTCAAAAGTTTCCTGCCCATTGAATTTTTTTTGTTTTTCGCCATATTAGACTATTTCGCAGCTTATACATCATACAGTAATTATAGAAAATATACTATAACACTTCGTGGTATATCTCTCGTTGTCTCCGAGAAATCGCACACAGTATCCACAAAGGGTGTTTGTTGCATGGTTATTTGTGGCACTATAACTACCAGAAACTGGTTTTTCGTGAGAGTTAAAGCACACTCTCATGAAATTAATCTTTTTTATGAGGGAGATATAAATACCACATAAACTTATTTTCATGAGAGTGCTCCACACACCTCCATGAAATCAGCTATTTTCGTGAGAGCATTTAATACCCCTCATGAAAATGACTACCCCGCCACGAAATTATCTATTTTCATGAGAGTGATAGTTTTCATGAGAGTCAACTTGTACCGCCACGAAATGTGGGTTGCTCATTGTTGTGAATTGATTTGTAAACAATAGTTCTTAAAATTTTATGATTTTTTTTAATTCAACTTTGTGAACCCATAATATGATCTCATACTAATTTACAGAATTTTGGATCATTTTTTCACATTACCATTGCTTAAATACTGGAAAATCAAGAACATGAACAAAAGTTTTTCTCCTTTTAATCTGCAACAAAATTTTGTAACTAGTCTTTCTCCCTCATGTTAACTCCAAATGATATATTTCTTTTTCCTATTTTTTTATAAAATCATGATCTACCAATTGACAACAATTGTTTGGATACCAATTATTGTTTCTTGGTTCTTTTGTATATGGCTTGTTTACCATTCATGTATATAGAGAAAGCACCCTGTGAAACAGCCTTTAAAAATGTATTTTGTACTCCAAACTTTTTTTGCACAAAAACAGGCTACATACATACTGTTGTGTAGAAGTTTCAAAATTTTTAGAACCAATTTTATATTTTTTATAGTTTAAATGAATTTCTGCGTGGTTATTGAAAGTAATTCCAAATTAAACAATGAGTACCTCTAATAAGATTCTAAGAACATTATAAATTTATATTTATGCTCGTATGTTTCATTCTAGGCCATATCCAGAGATGGATGAAAAAATCATTTGTTTCCTAGGGATAATTCATCCTTATATCTCCAAATTAACATAAAATAATTGTAATAGTACTAAACTTTGTTAGAAAATCCTACAAACTTGCATGACTACATGTTTTTGGTGTATAATATTCTAATAAAAAAATTCAAATGGTTTTAAAAAAGAGGTACCATACATTGTTCACAAATGGTACATCTATATGAAACTACGTGAGAGATGTATCCATTTGTTAACAACACATAGTCCCACTTTGTGAAAATGTTTCCAAATTTTTATGACAAGGTTATACTACCCGCATTATGCCCCCATACCAATTCTTAGAATTATTTGGACCACTTTATTATATTATTAATGTTTTCATTGAAGTCACCAAAATAGTAGTTTGAGTAATGTTCAACAAAACACTTAATTTTCCATCGATTTTAGGATGTGAGCTCAAATAGAACATGTCTTCTTACATATATTACTGGGTTATCCGGTGAGTTTATATAAAAATACCCTCGAGTGAACAATGCTAACTCAAATAACGGTACTGTCAAAAGGGAACCACCAGATAAATCTGAGGGCATACCCTATCCTCTATTAGGCTTTATTGTGCACCCTAAGCCATATTGCTATCTCCGGTGACCCCTTAGCCAATGCACCAAATATATCTGGCGAGTGCGGTGAAGCTGCACTAAGTCCCATTTTTCGCAAGCATATCAAATCCGCTAAACTCCAATATGTTCCAACGTGAACATCTTCATCTTAGGCACTGAGTTAGATTTTCAAAATATTTTTTACTTGCATCTCACCACATCACTAGGTCCAATGCATATGTAAAGTTAGTTCTCACCTAGTGACACTTAGATAATCGTTTAGCAATAGAGTTCCCCTCTCAAATAGCATATATGTCTATCCTAAACCTAACCATACACTCTATTGCATCTCGCCGACAAAAGTAAAGTGCCTAACTTATACCTTTGCCTTCAAATCATCATAAGGCTAGTTTTTTTACACCTCAAAGTGGCGCTGGGCATGAGACCTAGCATTGGTGATGTCGAGCATGCCCTACATGAGATGGAGTTCTCAACGCAGAGATATGGACCAGTTCCACACTACAACTTTGATGTCACACCCCTTCTTGATAAAGGGAGAAGGGTAATCGATGACAATGAGGAGTTGGAGGTCCCCTAAAAGCTCTAGTTTGATTTTGGTGAATTGATGAAACCCTAAATGCTAACCCTTTTACTCTAAAGTGATCATGAGATAGGGTAGCACATTCCAAGTGGTGGAGAAAGTGATGATGATCATGTTGGTGGTGATGGCCATGGTGATCAAGTGCTCGGGCCTGGAAAAGAAGAAAGAAAAACAAAAAGCTCAAGGCAAACGTGATATCCATAGAGCTTTTGTGTCTTGGTGATCGAGGCACTTAGTGAGTGTGATCATATTTAGGATAGATAGTCATACTATTAAGAGGGATGAAACTCGTATCAAAATGCGGTTATCAAAGTACCACTAGATACTCTAACTCATTGCATATGCATTTAGATTCTAGTGAGTGCTAACACCCTTAAAAATGTTTGTGAAAATATGCTAACACACGTGCACAAGGTGATACACTTGGTGGTTAGCACATTTGATCAAGGGTGCCAAAGTTGGAGTTGAGGTGGCGTTGTTTTTCACTAACCGGACTCGGCGTTGGGTGCGTTCGGTCATCAGAGCTTTGAGGCGCGTTGTCGGTCTTCGACCGGACGCAGGCGAGGGCAAGTGACTGGACGCGATGGTGGTGAGTGTGGTCATGCTGACGTAACGCGTGGAGAAGGCTAGAGAGGATCGGACTCGAAGCTGTGTCCGATCGCCTATGAACATACACGTCCGGTCATGAATTTTCCTCTCTGGATGCTTACTGGAGTCGACTGGACTCCATGGGCGCGCGTGTTGGTATTTGTTAACGCACATAAAAAATCCACAAGCGCGCAGATATCGATGTAGCTTTCACCCAGGAGTATTCCAGAGTATCGATTTCCACGAGGAACATAAAATGTACTAGCAAGAATCAAAGTCGTCTAAAGGTAAAGATAAAAGTGTTTTTGTGGGTAGAGGAGTTTCTAGGCTTAAACTAGATAACTAATGATCAAGCTTATTATACTTTACTTACTTTAGAGTAATAGTGCCTTTTAGACTTTCGAAGGAGGTGAGAAAAAGTAGTCGGGGGAAGGCTGCCTAAGCTCTATGAAACACCAATGCTAAAAGTGGTGGATTGCAACAGCCTGATAGAGCTGTCACCTCTGGGGCTACCATAACTAACCATGAGATTGGGCACAAACTCAGGTAAACTCTAGCCTAGACACCATGTCTACGCTAGCATTTACTACTTTAATCA